AGAAAAGGTAGTGGCTATCACAGTAAATTTTTTAGAAATTACACTAAAAAATATTTTCATAACATGGAAGAGGTATCATCAGATGACTCCAACTGGCTTTTGCAAAGCAGTTGATTTATGTTATGTTTTATCAGTTCAAACACGCCTTCTGCTAATTTCATTAAAGCATGGGATTTCTTATCACTAGTGCAAACAAAATTCTTGTTTCTCAAGTTGGGCACCCAGAAAATTGAAAACATATTATCTTCTTGACTGAAACGATTCATCTAGTACCACACAAAAATAATGGGAAAGACAAAAATTTTGAAAAAATGGAACAGGATTTTATCTGGAAATGCAACACTTTCACTCAGAATAGTAGTATTAGCTACTTGCCAAAATAAGGTCTATCCAAAGCTGCAACTGAAAAGTAATTACAGAAAATCAAACCCAAGTTTTTTTTTCGTTTGGTTGGTTGGGGTTTTTTGTTTTGTTTTGGTTGGTTGGGTGGGTTTTTTTTTTGTTTTAATTTTTTGTTTGGGTTTTTTGTTTGTTCTGGTTTGGGATTTTTTGTGGAGTTTTTTGTTTGTTTTGAGGGGTGCTAGTTGTATGAATGTGAAGGAAAGCGTACACAAAAATCACAAATATGCATAAGGAAGGCAACAAGAAAACCCTAAAAATAGTATCTATGGCATGACCCAGAAAGACTTCCAAGTATGAAATTTTGCTGAAAGCTTGGTTCAAATACATGAATTAATACTGTCTTTCTGCAAACACACTTTTTTTGTAGATACTTACAAATATAATTTATGGAAAGATATAAAGTTTTGCATATCATTCACAGCTTTAAATTATTTTACAGTTTATTTATAGTTTGAGGCAAAGATTATCATATGAAATATACTGAATCAAGCATATACAGTAACACAAAGATACAAGTATAATATTGACTGTACACTTTCCGTAATGGCCATATCTGACATGCTTCTCTTCCATTTGTTATTGTTTAGCTGCCATTTAAGTGCCATCTAAATCAGTTCAGGCTGTTAAGCATTCACTGAAAACAGTCAATAACTGTAATTTCAACAAGATTCAATTCTGAGGAGACCAATTAAACGTAGAAGTACAAAACTGGACAAGGATGGAATCAGAGGACATGAACTTCACAAACAGTCAAACTGCAAAATCATTTTAATTTAGACAGAAATTTATTGAAGAAAAAAAAAGATACAGTGTCCTTGTCTACCTGACACAATTTTTTTAGCTGTCCAGTTATATATTTTCCAAATACACATGCAGTCCCCTGAAAATATTTTTGTCTGTTACAAAATTAAAGGGAAGGCAACAAGTGCATTCTGATTACACCTTCATTAATGTCACTAAGTAAATGACAAAAATCCACTGTCATGCTAGAACAATAGTTTTCACAAGCAACTGTACCTCAGTTCTAGCTTCACTTGTTTAAATAAAAACCTTTTGCAAAAAGAAAACTAGGAAACCACCACACTACTTGCTACAGTAATCTGAGAAAATAAATGTTTTTGAATCATGAAAGATTTAGTAAAGCTTGCATAACTTCACTATCACGCTTTCTTAATTTAAAACCCAATTCTCCACTCATACAAATGTGTACAAATTCTTCTACTGTACCCATACTCTGGTAAGATCTTGTAAATCTTGTAAAAGTAGTCTATTTCAAGACCTATATTGAGGCTCAATTGTCTTTTCCTTTTAAAGTGCTGACTTATTCTACTCTTCCACAGAACTGCTTATACTTCTTCACCAGAATGTAATGGCATCCTAAATACACCACACCAAAACTTTTAAGCATGACAGGTTTCCTTGACTTTCTCCTCAAGATACTGACCTTTAAAAAAAATAAAAATCCCAAAGCTACAGCATTGAAGGATTAGTTTAACTTGAAAAGAATCCTGCACACCTATAGATACCTATAAATGCATATAGGTATCTATATATCTATATGTCCAGATACATATACATGTATACGTATGAAATAACGTGTGCATATAAATACATATAAGCCTTTTTAGCAGCTTGAACAAGACATAAAGAAAAACAATTCTGCTTTTCCAAGATATTATATTGCTCTTCCTTCCATCCTCCTAACTTCCTCAACCCCTTTTTCCTGATGCTCATTAAAATTGTAACTCAGTAAAGACCATTGGTTCCTAACTGCAGTAATTGTTTAATTCTTTTGCATTTGTCTAGAACATTGTTTACATACTCAATGAGATTACAGTTTAGAGTGGATTCACCATGAGGGCCTTTTTGGGCTCCTACATTTGAGAAAATCTCAATTTTATCTTTTGAGGAGTGGGCAGAAAGGAGGAAAACTACATGATCTTGTTTTTTCTTGTTGTTGTGACAGACAACTCTCAAATCTTTTATCTATGGGTTCCCTCTTTCCTGCAGCTGATATCAGAATTGCATACAAACATTCATGAAACAGGAAATAAAAATGGAAACACAGAAGTACAAAGAGAAACAATTTCAGATGCATTTCTCCATATCTGCTGACTGTTAACCATTTGACAAACAGAATTCACATCCTGCACAGATTTGAGATGAAGAATTTTACTGTTTTAGTTTCCTTCTAGTACCAAGTTACATTTTCCTTCTAGTGAACAGATGCTGGATTGTTATGCAGTAGTTAAAAACAAAAAAATCATTACCAGTGAATCAACATTTACCATATAACCTCATGAACACAAATCCCTTTGTTTGAGCAGCATTATGCAAAGTAAAACGAAACTGGATGTTCCCTGATCAGGAACAGATATTACATTCTTCATCACAGGATCATAGAATAAAAAAACCATGGAATGGTTTGGTTCAGAAGATGATCTAGTTCCAACCCCCGCTGTTGTGGGCAGGGACATCTTTCCCTAGATCAGGTTACTTAAAGTCAACGATTTCTTGGGAACTTGTTCCAGTATCTTACTACCCTCTTTGTAAAGAATTTCTTCCTCATATCTAATCCTAATCATAGAATCACAGAATGTTAAGGGGTTGGAAGGGACCTTAAAGACCATCTAGTCCCAAATCTCCTGCCATGGGCAGGAACACCTCCCAGTAAACCAGGTTGCTCAAGGCCTTATCCAACCTGGCTTTGAACACTGCCAGGGTTGGGGCATCCACAAGCTCCCTGGACAACCTGTTCCAGTATCTCACCACCCTCACAGTAAAACTTTCCTTCCTAATATCTAACCTAAATTTCCCGTCTTTCAGTTTGTACCCATTACTCCTTGTCCTACCACTACAGTTCTTAACGAAGAGTCTCTTTCTGGCTTCCCTGTAGGCCCTTTTCAAATACTGGAAGATTGCTGTGAGGTCTCTACACAACCTTCTCTTTTCCAGGCTGAACAGCCCCAACTTTCTCAGCTTGTCTTTGTCAGGGAGGTGCTCAAGTCCTCATCTACCCTCTTTTAAGTTTAAAACCATTGCCCCTTGTCCTGTCACTAGAGGCCCTAGTAAAAAGTCTCTATCCATCTTTCTCATAAGTCCCCTTTAAGTATTGAAAGGTCACAATATGGTCTCCCTGGAGCCTTCTGTTCTCAAGGCTGAACAACCCCAGCTCTCTCAGCCTTTCTTCATAGGAGAGGTGCTCCAGTCCTCTGATAATTTTGGTGGACTTATTTGGACCTGCTCCAATAGGTCGATGCTTTTTTTGTGCTGGGAGCCTTGGAGTTGGACACAGTTCTCCAGGTGGGGTCTCACAAAAGCAAATCAGAGAGGAAGAATCAGCTTCCTCAGCTTACTGGCCATGCTTCTTTTGATGCAGCCTGGGATACAGTTGGCTTTCTGAGCTGTAACTGCACGTTGCTGGTTCGTGTCCAATTTTTCATCCATCTCTCTATCTCCCCAAGTCCTTCTCTTCAAGACTGCTCTCAATCCATTCATCTCCCAGTCTGTATTGACACTGAGACTTGACCCGACCCAGGTGCAGGATGTTACACTTGGCCTCGTTGAACTTGATGAGGTTCTCCTGGGCCCACTCCTCCAGTCTGTCAATGTCCTTCTGGATGGCATCCCCTCCCTCAAGCAAATCCACTGCACCACTCAACTTGGTGTCATCTGCAAACTTGCTGAGGGTGCACTCAATCTCACCGTCTACATCATTAATAAAGATACTAAATAGTCTTGATCCCAGTGCAGACTCCCTGAAGGACATCATTTGTTGCTGATCTCTGTACTTTAAGCTCTTGACTGCAACTCTTTGGATGTGGACAGGCAGCCACTGCACTATCCATCAAATAGTCCATCCATCAAATATGTATCTCTCCTATTTAACAGCAAGGCTGTTGTGTGGGGCTGTGCCAAAGGCCTTACAGAAGTCTAGGCAGACGATGACTTACAGATAATAAGATGATAATAATAAAGATAACTAGCAAATGTGTGACTAATATATCTGTTGCAATTGCTGAATTATTATATATTCCTCAAGCTGCAACCTTCCAGAACTGAAAATCTGGGCCACGACTCTGAAATAGACTCAGATAAAAAATGTTCTGTGACCCACCACACTCCTGATATTTCAAACTGATTTTTTTCACTGTTGTAATCCCTTTTTGTTAGAAGATGCTCATATACAATTTAAAAAAAATAATTATCTAGTCCATCTTACATATGTTATATTTTCTTGATCTTGATCAAAAGCCTCCTGTTGAAAAGAATACAAAAGTTCCACTGCTACTAGATCATGCAAATTGAGACCTGCAAAATCTCATACTCACTTCACATTCATTTATCCATGCTCATATGCTTCTTAATTAATTACATTTTGTTGAGACAACTTTTATGAGGGCTAGATTAATTTCAGCACTTACTTTAACTTGAATTAAAGCACATGATCTAGATTTTGGCACTTACAATTAATTAAAGTTCACCTTAAAGACAAAATATGAAAGAATCCATAATTTAAAAACATTAGCTTTAACTATATTCTCATATATTTTTAAGATATTAGTACAAATTAGATTTGATTAATATTTATTCATTACCTTGTCCTAAAGTTTGCAGGATGAGGATGCCCATCATATAATGACAAATAATCATATTCTTCTTCTAGAGCAAAAGACTGAAAGACGATTTGTATTCTGTTTCTTTCTTCTGCTATTATAACCCATGTACAGTTTGCACCATTTGGATATCCATATGGGAAGCCAGGGCTTTCTATAGTGCCATTAAGTCCTTTTAAAGTTCCACCACAGGTATAAATAAATCCTAAAAAAGATACCAAGGAAACAAAAGTTAGCAATCCATTTTTATATTAACCTTCAATAGAATACATCACTAGAATTATGATTTCTGGAAAAATATCAAAATATTTCTTAGCAAGTACTGCATTTAGAAAGAAAAAGCCAATGTTTTAATACAAATGCTGGCCACTTAATGCAAAACAACCCCACCCACCTAACAAATGTGTTTTCCATACTGTTTATGTAAAGGCATATGGTAGCATCTTTACAAATAAATATATATAACAACATCTATGACTAAATTTGTCTATGTGGCAAAGTATCCACATCAATTCCTTTTTTGGACAAAAGGAAGAGAAGCAGTCAGAGTAAAGCAAACAAATCTCTTTTGGTACAGGTCTGATAGAGATTAAACCCATTAACCTTGTGCTCCCCCCCACACACATATTTTGGGACTGTAAGAGGCTAAAAGGCTACTTATTATGAACAAGCAAAAATTCTGGGTTATGAAAGATGTCTACTTAAAGACTTAATCTGAAATACCACCATCATGATACTATGTCATGTAAATATTAAGATGAATGTGTTTTGACTGACCCTAAGTGGGTGTTGTTCAACTCCGGTGGTCAGGGAAGCCCCCCAGAGCCACTCCCTTACACACCACACCCCACACCCCCCGTCCACTCCCTTGCAGTGGAATGGGAGAGAGAATGGAAAGAGTAATGTGAGAAAAGTCGTGGGTTGAGATAAGGACAGTTTAACAGGTACAGCGAAAGCTGTACATGTAAACAAAGAAGATGAAGGAATTCATTGGCTACTCTGCCAGGCAGGTGTTCAGCCATCTCCAGGAAAGCATCAATGCCTAATGGTTACATGGGAAGACGAACATCATAACCCTGAACATGGTCCCTTCCTCCTCCTTTCCATCAGCATTTTTCACTGAGCATGGCACCACATGGTATGGAATATCCCTTTCATATGTTATAGAATATCCCTGTCATTAGTTGGAGTCATCTGTGTCCCAGCTGTGTCTCCTCCAACTTCTTGCCCACCCCCAGATGATTTGCTGTGACAGGCAGCATGATAAGCAGAGAAGGCCTTGATGCTGTGTAAGCACTGCTCAGCAATAACTAAAATGTCCTTGTGCTATCAACACTGTTTTGGTCACAAATCTAAAACATAATACCATAGGATCTACTATGAAGAAAATTAAGTCTATCCTAGCCAAATTCAGTACAGTGGGTCAAAGGTGAAAGGTTGCTCTGCCAATAGATTCTTTTTAAAATGAACATTCCCAAATTTCAGAAATGGCCCCTACATTCAAACAGTGATTTTTCTTGGATTATAACAAATTTTCTTCTTATATAGAAAATCCATTTTCTGAGAAAAATAAGAGAACAAGAATAATTATATAAAGGTCTCCTTCAAGTCACTGTGTCCTGGCAGGACAGGTCCTTTTCTAAACTTTTGTTCCAAGTTCTAATGCTCAGTTATAGCAGTTCCTAACTCATTTGGGGCTTTAGGATATTTTTTCTTTCCACCAGCTTTGCAGTCTGACTGTAGGTCTGCATCCTCTCTCCAGGCCTTCTGCTCTCTTATCCCTTAAATATTAGATCAGCTTTCCTGTTTTGCCTTTTGCACCCCCAAAGCTTCTCTTTCCCAAGCATGCTCAGAGCAAGCCCCCTCTGCTGGGGGGGGATTTCATTAAATGAGATACAGCACGAAACACTCAGCTGCTCTTCCACAGAAACACGATATACATTTCACAACGAACTACAAATAAACAAACCAGATGCCGACTCTTTAATTATACACACGTATATATTTGAGCTCATTAAATCTTCTTCTTCATGGCATATTCACAAGCTTGTCTTCGCACTGCGCATTTATATGTGTAGAGACCCCCTTCTCTGATGTACTAAGCAGAAATCTCTTAAGATTTTACTCTTTGTGTTACTACACTGTAAAGTAACTTTTCTTGACAACAGAAGAGGGAGACATATAATGTTTTTATCTCATCTTTTTCATGTTTATCTCCAATGGGGAGAAAAGATGCCTCTTATGAAGTATGACTACTGTTTTAATACAAATATCACTGTATCAGATATATAGGACAAAAAGGGAATGGAAGATTCTCTTCGAAAGTAATTAGGCCTTTGTTTGCCTCATCTGACATGTATAGCAAATTTTACCTTCTACTGTGAATTAGCTTAGAGAATTCATTCTCATATCAGTGCCTACACAACTTTCATTGTTAGGAGTTTGTTTTATTTATCTCTTTCTGTATCTCCCTCATATACTTGAACTATTTTTAAATCTCCTTTATGTGTTATTATTTATTATTTAAGCTCAGCTGTTTTATTTAGCACTTTAAAAGTCTTTTGGAATACAGTTTGTGCACAAGTCACTTTACAAAATTAAACTACATCATAAGCTCTTCATCCTAGAACTCTAACACTTCCCACAAAATACAGTCACTGAAATAAGACTTTAAATAGCTGTGTGCACATATTTATCAATTTCGTTTTTCCTAGAAATCTCTTGCTGAGGCATATTCAATTGAATTAGAGAAAAAACTTACAGAGAGAGAGACTTGAAAACAAAATAGCATATGCTATAAATTTTTATGCATCTCCCCAGACCAAGTGTGGAAAGCACAGTGTAAACTTTGTCTCAGCATCATAATATAGCTCCATAATTTAGAACCTTTGTTGCTGTACTTATGTCATGAAAACTTTCAACTACATATGGACTGTTCTGTTAGTTCAATACAAACTACAAAGAAAAAATCAAATATAATAGGTCTTCTGTTAGCAAAATTAAATTATATTTTAAAAAAACCAAAGCCAAAACCAGAGCCACAACTATGAGTGAGCAGAACCTTGTGAGATAACACACTGTTTATTAAGGAATGTAATGCTTCATATTGGATCCAATAATTGGTCCTATCCATAAATATATATGAAATATAAAGTTTCACAACTTATAAAAGTTCCACTTACTTCTTTTATTCCATACTCAAACCATAACAAAAGAGAATTATTCATATTCTGCGTGATGATATAACTTGGATGTTTTTCTGAGATGACTAGCAGAATGTAACACAGCTATGCACGTGTCAGAAGACACATTTTTAATTCCGAGAATGGAAAAAACACCAACAAACCAACAGTGAAGTTTGATTTTGATAGGCCTACTTTTTTAGCCTATAAAATAAAAAAAATCATGCCAACAGACCCCATACAACATGCACTTTAATCTCTGCTTTCATATGTTAATACATTCTGTGATGTTCTTCACCTTGGCAGTCCAACTTGGTTATGATCAAAATAGACAGCGTGCATTAACTGACTGGTCTGATCAAATGTGGAAAACATGACATTTATTTTCACAAGGTAAAATTCATGCTGAAATAACTAGTAACATATACTGTGATCTTTTTCATCTAGATTTCAGAACTAGCATTCCAAAAAGAATTTACTTGCAAACTGCTTTTCATTAAGGGGAAGGTTTTATTCAAAGCACACAATGAAGAATTTTGAACAGCTTGAAGTTAGATTAGAAAAGAAAAATTCTTGTTGAAGCAAATATGAACAACACCACTCATTATATTCTTTTAATAGTGAGTACAATTCAAAGTTTCCATTGCATTGTTTTTTACCAGATTTTAAAAATCAGATGTTTAATTCTCATCAATTTTACATGGATAAATATTTCTTGAAATCAAAAAATAAAGCCGCTCTTTCTGATTTCAGTCATCCTCTGATTCATTGTGGGATTACAGTAAGCATCAGTAACATCAGTTCTTAATCTACTTATTCAACTTTCATTGCCTTCTAGCAAAGCAAGTAATACTTACACCATATCCACACCCCTTGCCCTTGGATTTCCCATAATTATGCTCACTCAGTACACAACAAGATTGTCTTTGGCTTTTTCTCTTCCTTCTGACCATTCAATTATACTGTTTAATAACATATGTCCACACCTCTCACCTTCCTAGTACTCCACACCTTTTGTTTAATCTTCTTCGTTTAATGTGTTCTTTAATAGCAGTCATTACCATAAGATAATTATACCGAGTCTGCATTGATTAACACACTCTCACATTTCTAAGTTGCTTAGAAATTTCCTTTTAAAGAGGTATTTAATACTTGCTGTCATCTGTTTTAAAAACAAATTGAGAAAATGGAAGATGATTTGTTCATACGCTGCTTTTTTTCTTCAGTATCCTTTCTGATGAGCTGATCTCCTTTCATTTCTTTGACTTGTACCTATCTTAAAGCACAGTCAATAGTATCTTACAGCATTTCTTAGCCATGGCATCCTTGTTCACCTCCCCTTTTTTGTGTAATAAACCTATTTGCAACATTATTCTTTTCCCCCTAGTTGGTGGTTCTACTCCATTCAGAGTCCATTAACTTTGTTCACTTGTCTCACCTGCTCTTTGCATGTTTCTGCAAGACCTTGTCTGTTTACGATCTTTGATTACCTGATTGTATTGAGCAGCAAGGAGCAGCTACTTTGTATGCTGACCATAAATCAGGAAGGATTGTTCTCCTAATTCTCTTCTGTTTTGCTGCATTTTCTTTCTGTTCACTTACGTTATCATCACCTTAGTTTTTATGGTTCTATATGTCCATCCTTTTTGTTAGCACTTCTAAGAACCTCCTGGAATGCAACAGGGATAGATTTCATAGTGATGTGAACCCATCCCTATTTTGTGAACCTTTTCCTTCCTGCAATCAATCTTTCTCATTTTTGGAAAATATATACACAATATTTCTTTCTAAACCATTTTACCATCTCTATAATTTTACTTGTCCTGTCATGCCTCACATCAAGATCTTTGAGCCCAATTATGAAAATGAGAATAGGACACTCTCCAGATGTAATGACTGCATTTTACTTTGGACTGTGTTTGAAATTTACCCTTTTACCTCTTCTCATCATGTCTTAATTCTCTTTAATTTATGCTTTTCCATTTCCCATTATGCATCTTTTCTGCATTAAACAAATCTCCTT